TTTTTTTTTTTTTTTTTTTTTTTTTTTTTTTTTTTTTTTTTTTTTTTTTTTTTTTTCTTGAATACTGCAGCATCTCTGCTCACTGACTACACTTTTTTCACAGCATAATCTATCCCGAGGGCCTAGCCTGCATGCATGCCTGCATGCATGCATGCATGCATGCATATACATCCGCATGCATGATTGTTTCCTGTGGTTAAGGTAATTTTTATACAGCATCAAGCACCTATGGAGGCCCTCGGGGGCCCCCTCCCCTCTGTTTCTGTTTCTTCTGTTTGCTCGGATATTGTAAAAAGTAAGTTTAAAGGGGGACTGAGGCGGCTCTCTCGTTCTGCATGGCTGCAGCGGCTAGCAACACAAAGAAAGCTGTGGATACACCTCAATGAAGACCTTCAGGATGATGGCATTCGATGCGATGTCTGCGCTAACTCAGATACTTCCGCGGTACTATACACTGCTGCTGCTGCTGCTGTTGCTGCTGTTGCTGCTGCTGCTGCTGCTGTTGCTGCTGCTGCTGCTGCTGCTGCTGTTGCTGCTGCTGCTGCTGCTGCTTTTGCTGGTGCTGCTGCTGCTGCTGCTGCTGCTGTTTCTGCTGTAATGCTGTCTGTTGTATATGGTGTCATATTATCCTGCTGCTGCTGCATTATCTGCTGTTGTTTTCATCCTTTTTATACGTCTCCATCCTATATACTTAAAATATTAGGGTTTAGGGTTTAGGTTTTAGGGTTTAGGGTTTAGGGTTTAGGGTTTGTGTGTGCATGCAGGACGACGCGATAGTATTGTGCGATGGTTGCGACGCTGCTGTGCATCAGAGTTGTTATAGTGTGGGGCCTTTGCCTGAGGGGGAGTGGTTTTGTGAGTACTGCAGACAGCAGCGTTTGTCTTTATGTGAAATAAATAAATTAAATTATATTAAACAAAGACAAGACCTCACTAAACAACAAAAAGAAGGTAAATGTTATTTATTATAGTGTTTTATATTATATTATATTATATTATATTATATTATATTATATTATATTATATTATATTATATTATGTAATGTATATAATATAATATAATATAATATAATATAATATAATATAATATAATATAATATAATATAATATAATATAAACCACAGAAGCCTGAAGTAAAGGGTATCTTTACGTAACAACTTGCGAATACTAGGGTTTAGGGTTTAGGGTTTAGGGTTTAGGGTTTAGGGTTTTGTGTGTATACAGCTGAAGCAACGGCGCTGCTGCAGCGAGCAGAAAGCAACGGCATAGATATTCCCGCTTTGCCTCGGAGCTGTGTTTTGTGTCCTAGGAGAGGGGGAGCCCTCATACGCACCAGTGAAGGCAAGCTAGGGTTTAGGGTTTAGGGTTTAGGGTTTAGGGTTTAGGGTTTAGGGTGGAAGAAAACCAGAAGAACGTAGGGTTTGTTGCTGTGCATTGGGGTTTAGGGTTTACCGCTAGGGTTTAGGGTTTAGGGTTTAGGGTTTAGGGTTTAGGGTTTAGGGTTTAGGGTTTAGTGCGTGCTATCCTTCGTATGTATGAAATATTTATCGTGTTTTATGTTTCCCCTTCTTCTCCTTTCTCTTTCTCTTTCTCTTCTTTTTTTTTCTTTTTGTTTTTTTTTCTCTTTACTAATAAACATCACAATATATAAAAACAATAATATAATATAACAAAATAAAACAATATCCTCTCTCTCTCTCTCTCTCTCTCTCTCTCTCT